AACCCCTCTTGACCAGCGTGGTCAAGTATGGTCAAGTATGGTCAAGTATGGTCAAGTATGGTCAAGCAACCACCGTGATGCACACGACATGTGGAGGCCTTCATACAGAAGTGGAATGACAAAGGGCTGTAATCATCATGTTAATGGTGATTAAATTCATGTTTTGTCATCGTGACATCCTTTTTCTTTGGAATATCTTTGGAATATCAGGGACGAGAAGGATTAAATGTTTTGTCACTCATTCAAATCCCTCTAATCTATGGCTTCTCTTATCTGCTACAGTGGCTGATAACATCGTGTATAAGAGGAGTTGGATGGAGTGTCCTCGTCGCAAGTATGTGGAATATCCACCACCGCCTCAGAGCTGTAAACAGACGCCCTGTATACAAGGCTGCCAAACTTCACCCCCCCTCCCCCTTATTGGTGGCCTTGAGCAAGTCATAAAAAATCCACATTCCCATGACAGGTTCAGTCTTATCCATGAAGACCAATGTTGACGTCCCACAATTGTACTTACTGTATTCGCCCTGGAGGGATGATGATGATGGCGTCGACTAACCGCATTCTCCCAATAAAAACATGCGAACTGAATCAGCGGCTTCCATAACACAAATATGACGCAAACAGTTTGTGCTGAGAACATAATGACCACCGCAAGTGTAATTATGTTTAATTGGCCAAAAAACAGTCCACCCCACGCTCAACACGAGCGTGGGGTGGAAATTCCACATTCCCGTGACGGCAGCAGGTCTATTCATAGGGCAACCACTGTTGACCTTCCCATTGAATAGACCTTGGCCCGGATTTAAACTCGCAACAATATTATTGTGAGCGTTTAAAATCAAACTATATCTTTGGCTGCTGTGTTGGCAGTTCTGCACAAGCACAGTTAACAAAATACTCAACACATTGCCGTAACTCTTGAGTTCTCAGCAACAACACTGCCCTTATAGGGGGAATACATATCATTAAATACGAAGTTTCGGGAAAAGGCTTTTCTTGACAGATTGTGAGACAAACGACTTGAACTCAATCAGAGGCACGATCGCAGAATATAGTGGAATTAGATGAATGTTACATACAGACCAACGCCCCTGTGAGTACGTGTGACCACGTGTTCCATTTAAACGTGGAACAATACAAACAACATCCGAACACATTTCGTCAATAATACTGTGGCCTTAAAAGTAAATATATATATATGTAACGGGCGACGTTTCGGGCAATATCCCTTCTTCATAGCACAATGATACAGCTGGATTGTTAGAATGTGCTGATGTCGCAGACATAACATCCATCGGTGATCAGAGTGGCTGTTGATGATGCTGCTGTTGGCGACGATTATGCTATTAATGAAGACGTTCATTCCCACGCTGCTTTTCGTATTTGCTGGTGCTTATGCTGAAGATGCAGTTGCTGCTGCTGATGAATATTCTGTAAGCTATTGATGCAGTTACCGTTGCTGATGATGAATATGCTGCTGTTGATGCTGGTTGTTGTTGTCATCTCTCTGACCAGCCCATAACAATTAGTCCGAATGTTGCCAGATCTGCATAACGAAACCTCTAGACTGCGGAACACAACCATGACTATCTAGCGTGTCACTTCATATTGTATAACATACAGAAACAAAAAAAACACCGCACTGACGGACGTGAAGTTCACCGAACTGATCAGCATGGTTGAAATATCAAAACAAATGAGCAGGCAATATGTCACCTTCACATATCCGTCTCTCCACATCAAAATTAAAGTATTTCTTACTCAACCCAGCTTCTGGGAGGGCATAATTTCAGAATAATCGTTTCAAGACAAGTAAGCTCTGGACCGGTTTTGCCATAATTACGTCTCATCAGCTGATTCACACTTCCTTTAATAAAAATGCTGGTGAACTGACGATCTTCTCTGAAAGGATCCTCCCCTTACTTTATGGAGTATGGTTGTTTCTTGACCATACTTTACCACAATGGTTAGTGCTATTTGTAAAGAGTGTCCAGGAATTTAAATCTAATTCACCAGGTTCACAGCGCTGTGTCACTAACCGCAGCGCCACCGCTTCAACACTTCTAAAATTGTGGATAACTTTTTAGCCAAATTTTCTCGTGATTATTGTTCTTCAACTTAGAGGTGAACTGAAACAATAGTAAATGGCGCGTCGTTAAACCTGTACGCCTGACAATTGGATTCGTATGGCTATTTCGGGTGATGGAGACCGAGTAAAACATGGAACGTTGGGCAAACTTTGTTGGTCCAACGGTTCGAACGTTGCCCAAATGTTGGCTTGTTTACTTGGATATCGCATATTTGTCAACCCCTTATCAGTGCCCTACCTTGCTACAGACCAATTCAGACCTTATTGGTCACCCCGTACCCTTATATATCTCAACGTTCATCCTACAAAGTCCCATCACAACTGAAAATTCACAAACAAATAGACACATTCTTTTTTTGCCGTATTGAAACGGCTGTACGCCGTATGGACCTGAAAACTACATTTCCCTGTACAAGAATACGGGTAAACCCTGTGGATTGACAGGTGATCGTCATTATTTGACATGAATGTGTGGCTACCCAATTCACTTGCAAATGAGATTCGCGCTGTTCTCTTGAGTTCGCACATTTGTTAAATAAAAATGAACCTTGACTTGGAGGGCCTTGCGGCAAACATTTGGCCATATCATTAAGTGGCCTCACCCAAACATATCAATTATGAATAATAATGTAAAGGAGAGCCGACACAAGATTGCAGGGGTTTCGTATTTTAATCCTTGTCTCCCATCCACACCTGTCCCCAGCCGTCCCAATCTCGTTCCTGCCAAAGGCCCCTTATATCTACTCGATCACCCCTCCCACTAACCCTCCTATTGGTGGGAATCCTTCCCCTGACACCCCTACAATAACATAGGCGATGAAAACCTGTGTGTTAAGGGTGTGAACAAACCTTGAATAAAACAATAAAACCTAAACACAATTTTTTGCGTCAATTCCCATTCTTCAAAACATAAATCTCTGTCACAATCAACAATCTATTCTAATTTCTAATGTGCCGATTGTTACTGGCCGCTTGGCGTTCTGGGGGCCCTTCGTGTTTGTGTCGTGCTTGGCAGCTGTGTTCAAAGCACAAACATGAAAATGATCCACACTCTTAGGTTTTTTTCGGTAAAGTCACGTAGGATAAAAATTATAATAGGAATAATTGTTAAATTAATTATATGATTATAAAAAATAATAGAAATAATTATTTTTATTTCTATTATTATTTCTATTCTTTTTATTACTTATTTTTACCTACGTGACTTTACCGAAAAAAACCTAAGAGTATGAATCCTTGCAAGTCACGAAAGCTTCAAATCTAGAATCAAAATGATCCATCGTCTCTCTCTCTGCGCAAATTGTCAACATTTTCCGACAATCGAGGCTTGTCACAGATGCGGAGGTTTAAACATCTAAAGTCTGGACGGCGGGGAGCGTGAATCGCGCGCCGCCCGCAATCGCGAACCGAGTTGCATCACCGAACGCCAATGCACAGCCCTGATGCAACCGGGTCTCGCGTTACACCACCAGAGCCCACGCCACCCACACCACACACACACACAACCACGTCGCCCCTCCCCGCCTTCTATTCCACCCATGATACTCTTAGGTTCTTTCGGTAAATTCACGTAAACAATAATAATAACAATAAAAGAATAATAATAAAATAATAAAATAAAAAATAAAATAAAAATTATTAAAATAATTAAATTAACGAAATCCACCCATGATGCCAGATGAGGTGGAATTACCTCGAGATTAAGGGGAGGGGGGGGGGCAAACCAGCCTCATGGTGGCTCTTTAAAGACCGCTTCGTGATGGTGATCACACGCGCGTTGCGGCTCGCGAAATTATTGGGGAGTTTTTGTTTTTTTGTACCGAATTCTCACAATTTTTTAATTCTTTGTTACGTTGGTTGATGAATCCTGACACCGCAGGTGGCTTTCACAGAGAGGTTAGTTGTGTGCGGTGAAGAAGAACCCTAGCGCGAAACGTCGTTCATTATATATTTATATTTAAGGCCACACACAGTGCTATTGTTGACGAGTGCGTTTAAAGTTTGTTGTTTTTGTTCTTGAACCACTGACAACGCAATATCGCCAAATGATGAATTGCCTGGGCACAAACAGCACACACGTGAAGTGTTGGGGACTCCCAACTCGTCAGAGAGGTCTGGCAGCAATTACACATTTACCTTATTAATATTCTTTATACAAAAGTATCAAATGTCGCGTCCCAAAACAAGGTCTGGTATGGACTATGGCAATTTTTTTTGTTATAAGATCGCTTCTGGGGCAATGCTATTTGTCTTTCAAGTGTGATTATATTTGTTCAAATACGTGGAAAAGAGCTTCATGGCTCATCGGATTCCTCCAGTCTAAACAAAGATTTTTATTTACATCACAGACATGCTTTTGTGCACACCATTGATCAACGACATACATTCAAGACCAATACATCCCGTACATTTACACATTTTCTTCGCAAACAATGTACTACATTAAATAGTGTTGTTATTGGCACAGTATGTACAGTACTAATAAAGGCCCACTGCCCGTAACGTCGGATCGTGGTTTGTTTTAAGGCCCACAGTGTTATCGACGAACGTGTGTGCCTATAGCAGCTGAGCAAATAACATATTTGTATCGAAGTGAAAGAAAGCTTTAAAAAAGAACCCGTAATACCTTTAAATCTCTGAGAAACCCTTTAGAGATTGACTCCATCCTATAAGTGTGCGCACTGCAGACTAAGCCGCAGCTCACAAGCGCAGAGGGAATCCCTCTGATCTGACACCGCCGTTGATGTTGGTCGGCCGCACGAGCGAGCCAATGGGAATTGGGGAGAGAGGAGGGAGTGGGGCTCCCTCCTCTCTCCCCAATTCCCATTGGCTGAGATTCCCGGTGGGCGGAGCTTCACCACTATATAAGCCACACGTGCGCGTCCCTTAGGTCCACATCATTGGGGGTGGAGGCGGTAAGTGGAGCCGTAGGGCTGGCATAGCCCATCTGCAGTCGCGATATCAACTGCACCAGTGGTCGCAAAATGATTGGGGAGGTTCCCAGCTCGCTGTGGCTCTTTGGCTACGGCTCGCTCGTGTGGCGGCCAGGGTTCGCCTACAGCGCCGTGCGGGTGGGCTTCGTGCGTGGCTACAGCCGGCGTTTTTGGCAGGGCGACTGCGAACACCGCGGAACTCCGCAGCAGGTGTGACTCTCACCGGCACGCGTCTCGCATTGAGTTTGAATGTGGCCGCCTCTCATATTGATACTGCTCCGGCATGGAGCTCTCAGACACCGAGTTTCCGTTCAAATGTGTGGGGGTTTTTCACACTCGGACATTTTTTTCTGCTTTACTGGTATATCCCATTTCGTCTGTGGTGGTGGGGGGGGGGTCTGCATTGCTGATCTTTCTACACTCGTTCCTGTCCTGAGCCGTGGTCTTCACGTCCACCCCCCACACACTCCATCATTCTGGTTTAAACCACCTCTATCTAGATCTAATTGACACCGTTAATTAAAAAAAACATGTTTTTGTTGTGTAAATCCACTGATGTTTTGTGATGTGATGTATCTATTGTTGTCATGTTGCCTTTATGAGTCGAGGTACCTATGTATTGGATTAATATAATTATTTGTAGCTTATTTCTCTGTTCTCAATTGCATCCTAAATGCATTCATTCGGGAAACAAGGCACGGGTGCGAATTCTTATCCTGGTTGCAAGTTGGATAAATGCTTATGAAGGATGTATACATTTCAATTTCTAAACAATTATTCAATTGCTCTTACCCAGAGGCAACGTAAGCTAGAAACCTGCTCTATGATACTTGCTATGATCATACAACAAACGGTTGAATGGTCCGTGGATGAGCCGGATCTCAAATTGGTAGCATTTGAAGGGAGGTACAAACTTTGACTGGCACTGTTATGTTTGTTGCTAGTTGAGGTTGAATGTATTAGGTGATTATTTCAGCCCGTAGGGGTCTTTTCCAATGAGCTTTTTCGGCTCATGACAATGTTTTGAAAAGTTAGCATTGATTAAAAGAAATTATTTTCATAATGTAACTCCTGAACAGAATATTCACACAATTTACAAGACATGTAGGATCCAGTGAATTATACAAGTGAGAAGTTTTTACACATAATCAAGCCTTATTCAATTGAAGCTGCCTGCGGGGCTGAGCTTTGGAAAATATTTTCCTTCTGCCCCCACCACTAATGCGAGCGGGGGTGGGGTCCAGAGTATTGGAGTGGCCTAGAGAAATGAAGCCATTGTATAATTACAGGTAATTTTTATACATCACTAATCGTCTATTTATATTTGTTGTTGTTTTGCAGCCTGGCCGAGTTGTTACGCTCATTGAAGACAAAGATGTAAGTTCTGATTTTTTTTGTCATGAAGTCAAATCCGCTTTTGTAGACGTTTCACATTCACGAATGGGGTTTAATTCGCAACACGCAACTGGGCTGTTCTTACATCTTAGCAGTGGCCCTTCAAAGAGTCATTGCTTAAACATCTATTTTGGCATTCAGATGACAGCGTTGATGAGTGTTTATTTCCCACGTAGTGATACTCATTTATTCCACCACCACCGGGATGATGGGCTGAGTTGATTTCAAAAGCCACCCGTGATAACACCACCAATTCCTGCGCTCGGATAACCAGGTAATTCAACCAATTTTTAGCAGGAATACAACGATCCTTGCCTCTGCCACTGGAACATGGAATTTCCACGAGAGCATCCGACCCACTGAGTAGAGATGAGACAAGTATTGGACATACACACACAAACATAGTTACTTGTATCCAAATGCACCAGTCGCATAGAACACAACACACGGTGTTGATTTTGTTCGAAGGAAACACCGCAGTTCTATGCCAGCGACAACCATGAATAGAACGTCCTGTGCTATGAATGAATGCCTGTCGAATGATGCCTCCCATCAGTTAAATTCCCTGCCCACGCATCATGACTAGAAAGCACTCCCCATCTCGTGTATCAATTTCGCCGCGGTGTATTTTTTGTCGTCACCAGGCAAGCATAACATGTCGTGCGTTCAGGGCAATTCTGCAAACATGTTGCGTCAGTTATGGAAAAAAAATACGTAGGTTGTTTTGAAAAACTATTGTTGGTGTTCCCATCAACGGCATGAGCATTTTATTACAATTGTTTCCTCAAATAATCCATTCTGATGTCACACATTTGTGAAATTCCCCTACAGTTAAAGTGTTCTTAGTTCTTTCGGTAAAGTCACGTAGAAGGGAAGTAATAAAATAATAAAAATAAAACATAATAAAATAAAATAATTCTCACGACGTTTCGGCTACAACGCAAGCAGCCGTCTTCAGGTGAAGAATGAGACAATGCCAAGCTAGGAGCTTATATATAAGCTGCGTTGGAGGTGGAGGAAAGAGCGCCTTAACAAAAGAATGTGCATGTGAAGAGGAATTTAGCATATTCATGGAAAATGCGTAGGAGGTGGGCGGGGGGGTTTCAAAGTCATATTATGCCCATGCATTATGCAGGATCAACAGCACCAAGGGGGGTGCAGGGATTAGCAGTAACAAAGGAAAGGAATGTTAATGATATGTAGCTGCAGTTACTCAACCACCACGTAGAAAACTAAAGTATAAACTACATAAAAAAAAAAACTAAAGTATAAATAGCATAGCACCATCAGTATACTTACAAACTAAGTTGCCTCTGTGGTAGCAGTTACATTGGGGAAACCAAACGACATGTCTCGGACCGCATCCGTGAACATAAAGCAGACCTGAAACACGGTAGGACAAACACCTCAGCCGTGGCAGATCACTGTTACAACTCAGTGGGCTCACATGATATTGACTTCTCCAAGACAGAGGTTCTCTGCAAGCCATCTGGCTATCATGAGAGATTCGTTCATGAGGCGATCCACATATACAAACACAGAGACAATTTTAACCGAGAAGATGGATTCTGGCTTAGCAATCATTGGAAGGACGTAATAAACCATTTCGACACACATTAGGGTGGGTAGAATAATACATAGTGTTATATTAAATGTATAAGATATAGGTTGGTTTACAGCAATACAGTATATAATTTAATGTTGGCAGTATATAGTACAGTATATGCTCGTGTGATGCAATAGAATAAAGTTTAGATGGAAGCATATTATATAATTTTTACGACGTAGAATTGTAATGTATTACTTGCTGTTAGTAACTCGGCTTAGTGTAGAGTATAGTAAGTATACTGATGGTGCTATGCTATTTATACTTTAGTTTTTTTTTTTATGTAGTTTATACTTTAGTTTTCTACGTGGTGGTTGAGTAACTGCAGCTACATATCATTAACATTCCTTTCCTTTGTTACTGCTAATCCCTGCACCCCCCCTTGGTGCTGTTGATCCTGCATAATGCATGGGCATAATATGACTTCGAAACCCCCCCGCCCACCTCCTACGCATTTGCCATGAATATGCTAAATTCCTCTTCACATGCACATTCTTTTGTTAAGGCGCTCTTTCCTCCACCTCCAACGCAGCTTATATATAAGCTCCTAGCTTGGCATTGTCTCATTCTTCACCTGAAGACGGCTGCTTGCGTTGTAGCCGAAACGTCGTGAGAATTATTTTATTATGTTTTATTTTTATTATTTTATTACTTCCCTTCTACGTGACTTTACCGAAAGAACTAAGAAGATGAATCCCTGCAGTCACGAAAGCTTTAAATCGAAAGTTAAAGTGTTATTTAAGCTGATACAATCTCCAAACCAGCACTGCTACATTTCTCGGTACCTGGATTTTTTGTTATTGTAGCGTACGAGTAGGAATTTATACATTTTAAAGCCATCAACATCTCCTTGCCCAACTGAGGAACTTTGTGTAGCGCTCGTCTCCGTTGGTGGCCCTGAACCCACGGCAGAAATTACACATTCTCATGGCAGGCACCAGTCTCTCCATAGATCATTGATGACTTGCCACAAAGCGATACTCGCATTGTCAAGCCTGAGGGATCATGATCTGAACTCCAAACCCTCTGATTAAAAGACTATTTTCAGTGAACAACTTGATAAAATATATACATATATACATATATAATCTATGTTTCTGAACAATATGGATACGTCTTTTTCCAATCTGAAAATAATTTATAATTTACAACCCTTTACTTATCTACTGGTGTTTGGCCATACTTGACGTTTGCCATTTGGTTGGTAAAGCTTGTGACCAGGACCAGTTAAGATATAACGACAGTGCTCACTGATGTTATGCATGGCTGAGAAGGGAGCTCTGGCTGGAACTGCTTCTCTTTCGTGAGGCATGTGATGTTAGCTGGTATTGATGATGTTGCTGCTCGCAACTGCTTTTCCAGGTTTGCTCCCAGATTTATTTAATTTTGCGTCCTGCCTGCGGTTGCCTTGGCAGGGCCACACCAAATGATTTTGCGGGCCTTATACGGCCCGCAGGCCGGTCATTCCCCACCCCTGCTATATACGTCTTGGCTTCCACATCTATTCTCCCCACCTTAACTAATCTACACTGACACACGGTGCGGGGAGGCCCTCAATCCAGCACAGCAGTGAGTTTATAGAGGGGTTGTACATTTGAACCTCATGGCAGTACCCCAGCTCTCGCATAATGCCCGTAATGCAGTCATTTTTAGTCTGTTGATGGTCAGCGATGCAGCAATCGACTCATCTCGACGAGCTGTACACGATGCACTATTTAAAGTATAATATTTAATTGCCTCGGCCATTTTGTATTATTTGGTACCGCGGGGTACCGCCATAAGGATCATTTGCACTTTAATGTAAGCGCGCCTCTTCTTGTATCACGCAGGCATGCACGTGGGGTGTCGCATTCGAGGTGCGGAGCCACGAGATCGCGCCCGCCCTCGCCCACCTGGCCGTGCGCGAGCAGGAGCTGGGCGGTTACGACACACGCTTCGTGGACTTCGTGACCGAGGAGGGCGATGCGGTGACCGCCCTGGTGTACATCGCCACGCCGCACAATCGTCAATTCGTGGGCCCCGCGAGCCCCCAGGCCATTGGCGCTGTGGTGGCCGGTTGCTCTGGCCACGCCGGCCACAATGTTGAGTACGTCTTGAGGCTTGCGCAGGCCATGCGCCAGCTGTGCCCTCGCGTGCGGGACCATCACCTGGAGGAGGTGGAGGTGGCGACGCTTCAGGCGCTGTTCACCCGGCATGTCTTGCTGTCTGTGCCAGCGAGCGTGAGCTACCCCACGGACTTGTTTGCAGTGCTCAGAGATTATCTCAACTCCAACAAAGGACTGGACTGCATCAAGACGTCTTTGGAGACGTTCCGAACTTTCTTGCAGGGCATGCACTTTACTCAAACAACGGACTCCAAAGCATGATGTTCCCAGTGTGTATTGACAACTCCTTCAGCGCTGTCCATTTGAGCAAGTGGCTCTCACTGGCATGCGTCATAGTAGTAGCATAAAATATTAAGCTCATGTTTACTGTAATATTTGAGTAAGAGCATGTATTTCATTATGATCGGAAGGCCGCAAGTTCGAATAACAGTCAAGGGTTGGCAACAGTGGTTTTCCTATGGATAAACTAGTCCCTGCCACAGTAAAGTGGAATCTCCACTCCTGGCTCAGGACCGCTACCTGAGATGAGTGCCACCCCAAATGCATGCTTGAGAATGGGGACAAACTTGATGATATATTTCATTTTAATATTCAGGTGATGAGCGTCCAATGCCTCACTGTCCAGACCACTGTTACATATTGTGCTGTAGAAAGTCTTAACGGTAATATTAGCAAGCTGGCCTTGTTGTTCATTTCAAAGCATTTAGTTAGCATTCAGTGATGCATGATTGGTTCATTTCGTACGTGGAGTTGAAGCTAGTGTAGTAACTCTGAGAAAAACGGTTGTGGAAATATTTCTTAAGTTATGTTGTGGTGTTTTTTTTAACTTGTTCCTCAAATGTGTTGCACTATGATGTGTGTGGTGGCGGTTTGTACTATGATGAACGATCCTATGGTGTGCGAACGGGAAATGCCTTACTGCCGTGGTCAGTATTTAGTGTGTTGCATGATTGGTGTCTTCAGCTGTCCATGTCATAATAAAAACACGGTAAGGTTAAAATTTACTCTTGAATTTATTAAAACAGCTTGGTAACATTTCAGCTCCACATATACTGTAATTTGGTAAACTCATTCTGTGATTTTTTTAAAGTATTTTTTTTTGCTGTGGTAAATGTGGAATCCACCTTTTCCATCAGTACGGGATCGTGTTTCCCCTTTGCACGTGAGGGTTTTCTGTGGATGCTCCGGTTTCCTCTCGCATGTAATACCACCATATATAGAGGATTGCAGAGCTTGGGAAATTCCTGGCACCGGCTCAGTGCGTGGTTGCCTTCCCGCTCGCTCGTATGTGGCCAATTGCACCTCTCACAACGAGAGTGAGCGAATACTGTAGGCATTACAAGTTGAAATTATAATGTACATGTCCAGCCCCGTGTCAGTCCATTGCTGGATGAGGGTCCCCCAACGGGATATATATGACCATACCACTCTTATGAGTGCTGGTTGGTTAATATTGAAAGCATAGATGCGGTAGCATATAATTCGAGTAAAACAATATATTGAGCTTGGCTGCTCTTTTCTAACCACCACGTAACCCACCACACACCTGCTAGGAATGGGTGGTTGCCCATCCCCAGTACTAGCCAGGCTAAAGCCAGACTTGGCTTCTGAGACCTGACGAGATGGAGGGCGTTTCAGATTAATTGGTCACAGGTGCTACAGGATCAAAGTGTATAAAGGGGCTGTAAAGGCCTGAGAGGGGAAGTAAGTGAAGGGATATGTTAAGCTGCATGTTGAAACGTTGAGAAAGCCAACAAAAAAACTCAAAGACAAATAATGGGGGGGGGGGGGGGGGTGACACGCATTGCAAAAATACACTGAAGCAAAAATGACCTGGCAAATTGTGCAAATGCACAATCCGTACGATACCACGACCATATACTTGAGGAAATTTAGAAAGAAAAAAATATGCGTGTATGCGTGAAACGGATCACGTGTCGTACACTCCAGAATAAAAAGAAAACCCAATAAGTATCGATTTGAGGAAAGAGTACAGTAACCCCTCTCGATCCGCAAGTGTTACGTTCTTTAAAACGCTCGCGAATGCAGAAACCTTGTTCCAATGGGAAAATGGGGTCACGTTCCTTGTACGAGTGAACATAGGGGGGGGGGGGGGGAATTGTAAATGTTTATTAACAATGACTACAATAAATATATTATAAATTATAAATAACTTTTTTATTACCTTTGATTTCACAACGTTGGATGTGGTGGTGGTAATAGTGAGGAATTCAGGGGGATGATGACTCGGGAGAGGCAGGGGTTTGGTAACAACGTCCAGTTATTTTAGCACCCTGGACAGCACTAGCTGCAACACTTTCCTTAATTGCATTCGCGTTCTTTTTAATGGGCCTTACAGTCGACTCTCATAAAGTAAACATACACAATAGCGAGTTCAGAGCGGGATTACTGCGAGACTGAGGACTCATAAAATTCTGTCGGTGGTCTGTACATTCGGGAATACTGGAGTCCGGCGGATCACATAGGGAATTATTATTCATTTAGTAACTCGCAAATTTGCGAAACTCACGAATACAGAACACTCGCATAGCGAGAGTTTATTGTACTTGTCTTCATAGAGAGACTGGCCACCTCCACAGCAATGTGGAACGCTCACCAATTCTACCAATGGCTCAGGACCATGCTTGAAAACGAGCTATACCCAATACTAAATTTAGCAGACAGATGCTAATCATCTACAAGTCCAATATCATCATTAACATTACTTCGCAGGTGGTGCAAGTACCAGTGTAGCATGGTTGACATGGGCCCTGGTGCAAGGAATTAAATCGGAGCCCCCTGTCCAACATCCCCCCTCTTATTAGCCTGGCCACTGGGCCCCTCTTGTCTGTGGCCACCGGTGCAGTTGCACTGCCTGCAGAATTGATAGCTATGCCATTGGGTACATTTCTATGATCCAGCACTTTGGAGGCAGGGTTGGCTGTGATGAACAAACGAACCGTGCTATGAGATGGAAGAACAGAAAGTAGGTTTATGACCCATCTGAGCAGACCTTTAAGTATTACCCCCTTCATATGTATGCTGGGTTTTTCCCAAGTACCCCAGTTTGCTCTCATGTTCAAACATCTCAAAAAGCAATGGGACAAACATCCAAATGCACAACCCTAAACTTAAATCACTCAGAATGAAATCTCTTTGCTGATGACACTGTCATGCTAGTGTAATAAGATATTTACATCTACTGGTTGGAAAAGGGAAGCACGGGTACAGGCACCACTATAAACATTATCCAATCCCCAAAGGGAGAGGTATCTGGGCCAAAGGTGAAGGGTAGGGCCGGCCGAGAAACTCCGAGGACTGGCTAGAAAGTTCCATGAGAGGGCGTGGCCGGAGGCGGGGCCGAGCCGCGCCTGCGGAAATATAAGCAGAGGCGGAGGACTCGGAGTTGGTGTGGGGAGTCTTGGGTCCGGACTGCGTCGCTGCTCGCTGTCATCTCTCTCCGTCGTTCGGTCACGTGGCGGATCTCCTGCGGAGCTCCACCGCCCTCCCTGGCACGCCGTCAGCCAGCGGTGAGACCGGGAGCGGACGATCAACCGTGTGTGTAGTCTGTAGAAGGGAATAGCTAAGTGTGTACTTGGAGAGGAAGCCAATACCGTTGGCCTGCGCTGTGCCCATACATGGAATAAAGAAGAGTACCCTCGGCACGATGTGTCACGGAAGTCGCTCATTACACTAGTTTGGGGTAAATCTCCAAACGAAATCAAACAATCTCCAGCAGGATTTTGACTTAATTCAACCTTACCTTTCCTATACTTTGCACTCCTATCGTTTTTTATATTGTTGTAACTTTCTAACCCCACACCTTGTAACTGGGGTCCCGGGAACCCGGCTACAAGGTGGCGCGAGATGGTTAACCGCCTCGACCTGCTCCTCGTGACCATCGGCCGGCTGGTCGTGCAGCTCTCCGCGTCTGCGCCTGCCATCCAGGGGACGGTGAGTGGACCGCTGGAGCTGCCTCCTACAGCGTGGGTGCCCGCTTCGGAGACCACGCAGTTGCAGGCCACCATTTCGAGGAAGGAGGGCACGGTGGGGCCGGTGGGTGCCATTTGGCATGGGCCGAGGGACTCACCGGAGCTGCCGCTTGCAGCGGAGGTTCCCGCGGCGGAGACGACGTGGTTGCCGGGTGCCATTTTGCCCGTGGAGGGCATGGCGTGGCCGGTGGGCGCCATTGGGAGTGGGATGCGAGAAGACACTAAGGAGGCGCCGTGTCCAGCGGCGCTGCAAGGTGCCGCGTGCCGACCACGGAGCCTGCCTCCGGTTTGGGAGTTTGTGGCGGCAGGAGGCGATTGTACGGCATTCCTTCATCGCTTTGAAGCAGCTTGGGTGTCCGTCGGGTAGATGGAAGAGTAGGCCATGCGGGCCCTACCGACAGCCCTCGCCAAGGAGGGGCCCTTTAGGCCGTTTTTTGTGTTCCTCGAAGCCCGCAAGAAGCACAGGATCCTGCCCCCAGTGGGGGGACCGGCGTCAAGGACTCGGTTCACTTGAGTATTGTCCGGTAAAGCGAACTCTCCCTTGTACTGTTTATTGTGGAAAGATAGCATGTTAAAGGGTAATGGGTGCTGAGAAGGGGTTTGTATGGTGCTGTGTCGTTTGTGTTGATGATGGTTGTTGTGTTCGTTTTTTTTCCCTGCACCGCGCGCCGATTGTCACGGCGGTTATGTTGTTGGTTCGCGGGGGGCGCCATGGTTCTGCTGTGTGCCTGCACACATGCCGACTTGCTTGGGTGGAGCAGTTGTTGGTTCGTGGGGAGTGTCGCGACTGTGGTTTTGGTTGTTGTTTTTTTGGTGTATTTGATGTTCCTCGGTTGTGGGTGTTACTCTGCCTGTCCACCCAGTTGCGTTGCTGTGCATCAGCCGGGACAGCTGTTTTTTTTAAACAAGGGGGGGGTGATGTAGTGTAATAGCGCCGGCTGTGATGGACAGATAGTACACACACTGGTGAGGGTGTGCATGGTGTGTTGGCAGAGAGGAGGAACTAGAGTAAGGGTCACAAAAAACCCCATCTGGAGGCCCCTGGAACTTGCTCGTGGGTTCGAGAAGGATTGCGCGGTCAGGGCAGAGCCAAGCCGTGCTGGTAGCATCAAAGGAGCCGAGAGCGGGAGCTTGAGGCTGCCGGTTCTGGGAATGGACTCGTCTCGTCATTGCTGACGTCTCGTCGCTATCATCAGTAAATGTCTCCTCTAGATATTGCGCTACGAAGGATAGTAGTTGGCTATATCAGCCAGCGCCATAAATGTTAGACGGCTAATGTTGTATACAGGAAAGGCTAAGCTACTGTGGAGAGTGTGCGGCCGAGACCGTGATAGTTGTAAATAAAGAAAGTGCCTCCTAGAAACTCTGTCTCTGAATCGTTGACACAACACATACATAACCCACCCCAACTGGACGTCTGTGAAAAAGAGCCTCATCAGATTCCTCCAGTCTAAATACAGATTCTGATTTTGAAAAAGTCTTGAAATCCAGTTGAGTTATTCTGGGTAACTAAGTGTCATCTTTATTATAATTAAGTTGGTAAGATCACTTATACCGAGAGAGAAGGGGGCTTGGAGTCGTGTTGACATACATAATGACACAGCCACCATCCATCTGAGCCCCTAGCATGCTCTCTGATATCATCGCCTCTGCCGTCCCATCTCAATACCCGCAGGAATGTTACAGCATCTGAAGAATCTCATCCTTCATCGTGCTCTTGTGCAGTTACTATTAGATGAGAAATTTATGATCTGTGTGTAAATTAAGCCAATCTGACTGGGTATTGCTTTAATTAGAACCGTTGACTAGAAAGGTTGAAAGTTTCAACCCCGGTCAGGGTCAACCCAGCCCATCATCACCCTTCCAGAGGTGGTCAAATAACTGCCACTTTTGTGGGAGGTATTGGATTGTGGAATTTCCAACAATTATTTTGAATTGGCAAATGAGCACCACCCATCGTTAATCGAAAAATTGTGAATGTTGTACGTTTAAGTCAAGAGCACTGGTT